GATACATTAAGAAAAAATAGTTGAGTACTTGCTAAAGCCTGTGTTGAAGTTGCAACATGCTTTAGCTTGATAATAGACTAAAAACAAAGTAACAGAAGGTAACTTAAAAGATATTTCATAGTGAAGGGCAATACAATGCTCATCAAATGTTCCCTTAGTTTTAACTTGTACTCACACTTTATCAGTTTTATGGCCTACATAGTACGTGGTTTCCAAAATCATTCCTTGAAAAAGTCCACTGACTTCAGCTAAGTAAATTTATTTGTAATTCTTTGAGAGGAAAGAATGAAACAGTGCAATCAGATACTGTTCAAAGGAACTACTTCCACTGAAAGTAGAAATAAACTGTGGTAAAGCATAGGAAGAACTGAAGACAGGCAAAAAAAAAAAAAAATGTGAGGTATGTCCCCAAAGATCTTGCTTGTGGTAAGTGACAGCAATAGTGTTAATGGAATATTTACACCAATCCTAAAAATGGTCTGTTAATAAATAAATGCAAAGTGACCTCACAGAAACCAGTGCTGCTTTGTAAAGTCAAACCTAATCTAGAAAGAATGCTTAATGACACGTGTCGTTGATCACATGTTACTTTAGAACAGAAGAATCCTGGCATCTATAACGATATTTGGGCTGGCAGTTGATACCAAGGCATCAGATTATCTCAAATGAATTTATAGGCTAAAAGTCAGTATGAAAAGATATACCTGAAACTATTCATGATTAGTAAGATTTTGTTATAATATAGTTATTTTTGACTCTGTTTTAAAGGTGCAGCCGGGATACTGCAAAACAACCACAATATAAGGATTTTCACCTGTAGGATGTTTTCAAAGATTTTCTGAGTGTTATCTAAGGCTTCCTTGTGTGAGAGGAATGAGGGAACACAGTCTCTGAAAAGATTTTGGCTTGCCTCAAAATGTGACTTTCATATTTCCTAAATTGAGTGATTCTAATTCTCTTCGAAACAAAATCACTATTATAGTAAGTTGCACAGTGAACCTCCTCTGACAAAATAAGTCTCTTTGATACCACAAAATCTTGTCCTGCCTTGACTAAGGGAAAGATTATAACTCCCTCCAGTTGTATCAATTTGGCTCCACCAGTGGTAGTTTTTGATTTTCTTTCTTGGGATACGTAACCACACCACCAAATCCTATTCTAGTATGGTAAAAGATAACACCCAGAAATCTGACTTAATTCTACCATGTCTCCATACAAACTGGCTAAGGGACTCCAAAATTACATTATTAACCAGGGACTGTTTCTTTCCCCTCCTACTCCCTAGCAGTAACTGGGAGTTCCAAGTTTGGATTTCTCAAAAAAAGATGTGTGAGTTTTGAAGGTGTGCAAGTGATCCACAAACATTACTAATGATTTGAAATATTTTGGATCTTTATAATTGGTGCTAAATCTCATGCTCACTAATCATGATTGCTGTGAAATTTAATAGCACAAGCCCTTTGGCAAAACAGAAGCTAAAGATTATCTACTATCAGCATCCTAAATGCTAAACTAACAATAGCACCATCTAAATAATCCCCATTTTCACTCTATTATGTAAAGACAGAACAATTAAGAACAGTTTCTGACAGCATGTGAAAATAGTTCTTTTGCAATGAGAAATCCTAACTTCAGAATTTGAAGCCAATCTCTGAAATAAACAGACAAAAAAGAACAAGTTATTTCAATTAGTCTATTATCAGGGAATACAAGTGTGCTGTTAGTTTTGCTTCAGGTTTTTGTGTGATAAACGTAACAAATGTTTTAAAATTCTACTTAAAATTAAGCTAAACATTGGAAGTGCCAAGAAAAAAAATCTAAATGAAAATAATCACTACCAAGAGGCAAATAAAATCTTGAAGAAAACCTCAAAACACAACTGAGAACAAATCACATGAACATTCAATCACAATCCTAACGCTTTTTTCCCAGCTCCCCAAGAGTAAACCACTTCTAATTAAAATCAAACTGTGTATTTAAAATTATTAAACTAGAACCAGCAACAGCAAAATACTCCCCCTGCTCTGCTAGTATTTATATTGTACTAATAAAGACAAGAGAATCTTTTTAGCCACTTTAAAAAACAAAATGCTCTACACAGGAACTGAGCGAGCTTTGAGAGTTTAGAGTAAAATTTTCTAAAATAACTTTCATTACTAAGAACAATTAAATTTAAACAGAAATTTGGGAGAAAACTGGACAAGGCACTCAATTTGAAATCTTTGGGTTTAGTCCTTCTTGTTTTAAGCAGAGGTTACAGTGTTACAACATTTTATCTAGTGGTACAATGTCTTACCGAGAAAAATAAAAATGCTTGTTAAACGAACTGAAAGATATAAATTCATTCGTTTATTTATTTCTCTTAGAAACAAAGGACTGTATGTGTTACTAAGGAGAACGTGTTCCAATAACATACTTTTTAATTGAAAATTTAATTACCAGAAGTGGAAACAAAAGGATGTGTATTAGGGCAACAGAATGGGCATTAGTATGAAAATAAAATTTTGAGACATCAGTTTGCTCAAATTGACATTGAATCAGCAAACAGAAGCATTTAAATTTCATTTCTGAGCCCATTTAATAAATCTAGTCCCAGTTAGAATGCCTTTAATGTGCAAAAGCTCAGTGAAAGCAAGTATTCACCATGCAGGACACAGATAGGGTTCCCTTAACCTACTGCCCTCTAGACACATCACTCTCTGTTAAACAGGCAGCTACCGCCAGATGCTCTCGCTAAAAATGGTCACAGATGGTCAGTTCTCCAGTTAACAGAAGATACTGCCCTCTCAATAGCCAAAAATAAGAAGGAAAGGAGTGCGAGCTGTTAACACTTGCTTAGTGAGTTAAACCCATTCGCTTGCTATAAGCTTGGCTAGGCCCCAACAGTGATGTTCTAGAAAAGGAAGACTAGATTCTAGGGCTCTCAGGATTAAAAGGCATCTAACAGGTGATCTAGTCAGCAGCTGTACAATGCCTGAATCCACACAACTGCATCCCCGCTAGTCAGCCGGTCCAGCCATGACTCGGCAACTGCAGGGGTGCACAACCTGCTGTCTAACAAGCAAGCCCTACAGCTGGGACAGAGTTCCCTGTTACCCTGCACTGCCATTAGTCCAACCACTCAGTCTAATGCCACAGGCAGGAAACATGCAGCTACTTTAATAGACAAGTATGCTGACTATAACAAAATTATTGCCTTGTTTATGCATTATAAAGTGATTTTAAGCTGAATTACCCCAAATAGCATACACAAAGGATTTTACAACATAAAAACACAGACAATTTATTTTTAAAACAAAGGCGGAAATAAAGGTTTATAGTATTGAAAACTACTATTGAGAGATGACAAAAAATTCCAACAAAGATCAGTGGGTCGTGTTCTTTATATATACATGCACCTGTAGAAAATTTTTAAATTTTAAAGAATTGTTTTTAATTGACAAACTTTTAATTAAATGTTTTTTTAATCTTTTCACAAGCAGAGCATTATTTTTTTTTCTAATAAATTATTCATCTACTTAGAATAAGCTACCTATATGTTTAGGAAGAGTGTTCTATGAAGCTATTTTTTTTTGTATCTTCAACCTATTTATTGGAAGCATTGAGTTTGATGTGTGGTTTTTTTCATCAACAATTGTCCAAAATGCTGTTTCTTACTCGATACTAAGTAAAATTTGCTTGAATAAATTATATGCATATGAAAAAGGAGAGCACACTGAGAAGCCATGGCTAGAAATAAATGTTGCTGACTTGGGTGGTAGTGGGCTGGGCTAACACCATCTCAGTATCAATGGTTTAAGGAAGGTCACCCTGAAACATATGTAACTTCTCGTCGTTTATAAAGCTGTGTGACAGAGATCAATAGTGAAACTTATTTAACCAAATGCAGATTAAATTAAAATCCAACAAAACAAGATTATATGCAAAATGTCATCTGGAGAACTATGGCAAAGAACCAGAGGATGGGGTTGTGTGTCCCTGTGCCTGAAAAATGGATTCCCACCACTGCTTCTCACTGCACAGGGACTAAAGTCAAATGCTGCTCTCACAGCTTGTGCTGCCGTGAGGTCAAGAAAGTAAATGGAGAAGCCCATGGCGGGACCACTGTGCCCCTTCCCTTCCCGTATTGCAAAGGGCAGTCTGTGACAGGGAAGGCCAGGGTGTTTTTGTAAAAGTCCAATATGTGCGGAAGGTGCAGTAATAATTCAGTAGGAATTTGTTTGGTAATCATAATTAAAGTTTCTGCTTTGTACTTAAGGGTGAAAATCTACTCACAAGCCACAACTGGCTAGGTACGCATTTTACACCTTGAGTATATATCTGTTTGTATGTGTTTATTGCAGATATAGATTTCTTTACTTCCTTTTAAACACGCTTACATCATGAAATTCTTTCACTCTGCAAAGATAGCACGAACAGGGAATAAAAAGTCTTTCAGAACTCTGATGAACCCAAACACAAAGTTAAGTGCATTTTCCTCTAGTGTTTCTGCATTAGAGCTACATAAATATTTACACTTACATGGGTCATATGTAAGAGCATTATTTGGTGCATAATTTACATATATTTTACACACGTAAAATAATGCACCTACATAGCACTCTCAGGCAATTTCTAACCTAAACCTTAATTATTGTGTCTTGTCTGATCATTTGGTGATATTCTTATTTTACATTCCTATTCTACATCCACCACACCCCCACAATAATTGATCAGGATCTCACTCCACCAGAAGTAAACTTTAGAAAGAAACGCAGATGCCCAGCAGTGGGGGAAAGAAAGAAAGATAACATAGTTATGTGACATTTTGCCAGTTTACTCACAACAGTGAGTCAAAGACCAGTCGCTGACTTAAGCAATAGGATATACACAGTGCTATAGTAAAGGCAATTATTTTCCTTTTGCCACTAAGTCAGTTTTTGCGCCATACATCCAACCACTTTCCCCAAATTGGTCTGAGAGGAAGGGAAAAAGGAAAAGCGCAGCACGGGCTCACTCACCTAAACCACTGAGAGTGTAGACAAGGTCACTGGTACCCAAGAAAATGGGTCCGTTCTCCTGCTGCCCTTCTTCCTTGTAGTACAGCTTGTAGCCCTGAATGGTTGCTGTGTCCTCAGCATCTTGCTGCCACTTCACAGAAATGGTGGTACAGTTCAGAGGCTCCAGATGTAACTCTGGGGATTTAGGGGCTAGAAAAATCCACCAGAAATGTAAGTATAAAAAAATCTATAATTCACATGAAAACACAGGATAGGCAGATCTCGGTCTTAAGCCAACAGCTTCAAAAAAGTTCAATTCCAACTATTATACCTTAACCTACCTCTCAAAATTTCACAATGGTATTAAACTTTGACACAGAATTGAAAACATCAAATACTATATAAAAAAAGACTACATAGACCTTATGTGAAAATAAGAACAAAATATCTATATTTGTATATTTTAATTTTTTTCAAAGAGGCAGTTAAGTACTAATTTTGAACATCCAATATTCTTCTGTGATAGATGAACAAGTATTATTAATCAATTAACAACAACAATATAACCAGTCATGTTAAATTCCACATTAGTAAAATAGGAGAGCATAGAACTCCCTAGTCTTATGGTCTTACTATTAAACTGATGATTTAAAAAACATATGGAGGGGCCAGCCCAGTGGTGCAGTGGTTAAGTTTGCATGCTTCACTTCTGCGGCCTGGGGTGTGCGGGTTTGCATCCCGGGTGCAAACCTGCACAACACTCAGGCCATGCCGTGGCAGCATCCGACATACAAAGTAGAGGAAGGTTGGCATAGATGTTAGCTCAGGGACAATCTTCCTCAAGCAAAAAAAAAAAAAAAAGAGGAAGATTGGCACAGATGTAAGCTCAGGGCCAAGCTTCCTCACCAAAAACAAACAAAAAATATGGCAAAATATAAATTAGGTCTCTATTAATATGTAACTTCTGGCAATTCAGTTTGATTTGGACCAATCTGTCTCTGAAGGATTTATTAAGCAAACTAATAGTGTAACCAAAAGTTTTATACAACAAGTCCTATGCAAAAAGGGACTCGTATTCTTCCTCAATAGTCTTTAGAAATTTACCTTTCACACTTGTAGCTTTGGGTGTCCTGTGTGAAGTCCACACTGACGACTCTCCCAGCCCCACTCTGGTGGCAGCAGTAATCCGCACCAGGTAGACACTATCAGGTTTCAGGCCCTCCAGAAGGTACTCATGCATGGTCCCCGGGAGCTCCAGAACTTGGATGGAATTCTCAGTGCTGAGGCGGAAGGACAGGCGATACAGCACCACTTGGCCCCGCCGGTATTTGGCTGGGATTGGCAGCCAGGAGATGAGAATATCGGTGGGACTTCGACTTGTCAAGCTAATTTCAGGAGGTCTCAGGGGAACTGCTCATACGAGAAAACAGCTTGCTTATAAATATTTACAATCAAAATTGTCAATCAGCACACCAGTATTTATTGAATTCTCTTAATAGCAACACGTAACATCAGACAAAATAGATACTTTCAGCCCTAGCAGAGGTTTTCTGTCAGACTACAAACCAGAAAAAAGAAGGAAAAATAATAAAGAAGGACCAAGTATAGAAAACCAAAGAAAACAAGGTTTTCACCATTATTGTTGTGATTGTTTTATTGGTTTTGGGGATGAATATGAGATGACTTAATACTCATACAAATATGAGAATACTTCTCAAATAATCCCACCAAAATGACTTAGGAATAAGGAAGAGAGAATTATGCAAGAGTGAGGAAGCTCAGGACACGAGGGTTCTAACCTGGCAAACAATATTTGACAGTGTAAGAGTTGCATCTTAAAAATTAGTGTGAATTTTGTCTTCCTACTTATGATATATGGCGTTTAATATGAAAAAACGTTTTTCCTCTAAATAATTTGAATACAACCTGTACTCCAGGAAAACGAGGCAAGTACCCTGGAAGGCAGACTAGGATTAGGAGTTAGGACGGGTTCTAGAGTTAGCCTCTGTGTGCTTCCATCCTTGTTCTACCACCTAGTCCACTGTGTGATCTTGGCCAAATGAACTCCTTCGGATATAAAATGAGGATAATAATAATAGCTCCCTCTACAGTCCTTCCCATCTCAGTTAATGGCAATTACATGTCCAGCTGATCAAGTGTCATCCTTGACTTGGTGTCATCCTTGACTCCTCCACCGACTCCACATTCAACCCTGAGGCTCCACCACTTCCACTGCCACCCTGTTGGTCCCTGCCACCATCCTCTTTAACCTTTATCATTGTGACAGCCTCCTACCAGATCTCCCTGCTTCTGCCCCTGTCCCTAGCATCTATTCTCAGCACATTAGCTGTTAAAATGCAAGTCAGATCTTGTCACTCTTCTGCTCAAAACAGCTCCCATTTCACTCAAAGTAAAAGCCAGTCTTCACTGTGGCTTCACACAAACCCCTATCCTTACATGGCCGGCTCCTCATTAATTCTCTGCCTCATCTCCGACTGCTTTCCACTCGCCCCCTCCACTCCAGCCATGCTTGTGCTTCAGGCCCTTAGCAAACTCCACTTCCTCTGCCTAGAATGTGCTTCCCCCAGTCATCCGCCTGGCCAGCTCCCTCACTTTCAATTACTTCAGGCCTTCACTCAGATGTCACCTACTCAGGGAGCCCCACTTTGGTGACTCTGTCTAAAGTTTCAAACCATCCCAATGTTTCATACTCCCTTCTCTGCTTTTTCCCCTTCTCCTCAACACTTACCACTATCTAACACAGTATATAACTGACTGTTTGCCTTGTTCTTCTGCCCCTCTCCCACTAGAAAGAAAGCTCTACAAAGTCAGAGACAATTTTTCTCTCTTTTGTTCACAACTAAATACTGAATAGCACATAGCAGGTACTCATTAAATATCTGTTGAATGAATTAAACAATAGATGGAAAAGGGACAATCAATTTATGAAGCACTTCTGAGTCCTTTATGTGTATGAATTCATTAATTCTCACAAAAACTCGATGAAGGAAGTGGCATTATCATTGCTATATCTGAGGAAACTGGGGTACAAAGAGGTCAAATCACTTGCCCAAAGTCACACAGCTTCTAAGTGAAGGAGCAGATCTGGGCAGACCATACAGAGCCCACATTCTTTTTTTTTTTTTTGAGGAAGATTAGCCCTGAGCTAACTACTGCCAATCCTCCTCTTTTTGCTGAGGAAGCCTGGCCCTGAGCTGACATCCGTGCCCATCTTCCTCTACTTTATAAGCGGGACGCCTACCACAGCATGGTGTGCCAAGCGGTGCCATACCCGCACCTGGGATTGGAACCGGTGAACCCCGGGCCGATGAGAGACAGAATGCGCGAACTTAACCGCTGCGCCTCCGGGCCAGCCCCGAGCCCACATTCTTATCCCCAATCTCTTCTATAACTATAGTTCCCCTATTGCGGGGTTATGTAGGGATTAAATGAGATAATGTAGGGAAGGTTTTTAGAACAGTCAGGGCTAAGAGCTCCACAAGTGTTCATTGTATCTGCTGTGCACTGCTGTGCACCTCGGAGACCCACACATCTCAGTTTGAGAAATATGGGCTTAGGCAATGGGAAGACATCAGTGAAGAAATTTGAAAAGCATTGTCAAAAGGTCTGTATATTATCCAGAAAGCTATATGAAACTTCATTAAATAAAAAAGTTGCAGAGTAAGGAAAGGTTTAAAGGAGAAAAACTTTTGAGATCCTAACTTAACTGGAATTCGCAAGCTTTAACAAGTAGCTTGCTATGCTTAGATTTATTTTCCTCAAGGATATAGGGGGAATACTCCTTATACAGCAAAAATACCCAAAACAAAACACTAGCCTGTTTCAACTTAGACAGACATGTCAGAGGTTGTCAAATGTAATGAGATAACTAGAGAGGTCATGTGTATTATGGCTCATTCTAAAATGGAACAGACTCTTAAATGAAAACTGAAATATGGAATTCAGCATCCAGATAAGTGATAATTTTTTCATTTAATCAAACTCTGAACTTATAAACATCTAAATAAGTGGCATTATAGAGATCTAAGTATGAGATCTAGGACCAAATGAACAAATAAAAAGATTTGGGAATCGTTAATATAAAAATGTTTGAAAACTAAGGGTGGACTATTTCTTGAGGATAAGAAAACATTTGTAAAGGTAGAATAGTATAATTAAGTATATGTTTAATAATTCCCTTTTCACTCTGCAGGGTGAAAAACAGGCCTTCCAGAGCCCTGGAGAGAGAGAGAGAGATGAAAAGTCAGAGGAGGAGATCAGCTCTCCAGGACTATCTTAGTGGATGGAATTTCCCACCATCATAGGAGTATATGGAGGCTTGCCCTCAAATGGACTGCAACTCAATTTCTAACCCACCACCAGGTAACAAACTGAATGAGTAATACTTTCTTCTTTAAGTAGAATAAGCATATTGTATCTAAAAATAAACCAACTGCTATCTGATTACCTAAGAATTTTTTTTAACTGACAAGTACTAAATTTCATAAACTCTCAGTTTCAGAAGTCCAATATTTCTGACGTGCAGTCATTACACACACTCCATATGTAACTGTCATATTTATTCACGCCTAGAGACTCTCACACTTTCTTCTATTCAGTAAAAAAAAATTGCAATGTATTTACAATTTAAACAAGGAAACTTGAATAAAAAATAATGATAATACAAGAATTTTATTATTAAGATTTATATCACAAATCATAAACAAGTGTTTATCCTTATCTTGTTACTGTCAAAAAGCGAGTTATATTTAAAATGGTAGGTTAGCCTGTTTAACACACGTGCTTTTATAACCAAAAAGGGGATATTTTCTCTAATTTAAAACACATCTATTCACTGAAATGGATTAAACATATGAATGTTCATATTTAAATGACCTAGAATCATGTTTCCTTACCATCCTCTAAAGTATTCTGTGTCACATGGTCGGACATCTGGCTGGCTCCCATTGGCATATATGCCACAATGTAGAAAGTATAATTGCTGGCAGGTTCTAAGTCATCGATAATATAATGAGTTGTGTCATTTCCGATGACTACTTGATACTCTTCATTATTTAAACCTACATTAAAGAATCAGTGTTTAAAAATTATGAATATTCAAAATAAAATTAACAAGACCATTTTCCTTCACTGTGAAACACTGCTCCTTGGGTCTAATGTCTGTTATTCTTTGGTGATCATTTAAAAAAGGTGAATAAGAAGGTCTTTATTTTCTAAAAGTAACCATGTCTTGCTACAAGCCACTAGTTTGCATTTTTCTCGAATAAATCAAACTGAAAATAATTAATCTTCTCTAAATTTCATTTAACATCTAGTCAAACCCACAGCAGAGACGATATAAAACAGTAACACAACAGAGCTTAACACTACAGAATACTGTAGCTCATGCCAGGGTAAATTTTACTTAAACTCATGGCTGCTTTTTTCTTTTAAATATAAATGGAGAGACAGTAGGGAATGTAATGGCTTTACTCTTTATAAAAACAAACCATACCAAAAGTTGTCCTGCAAAAGATCTCATTTTGCCCCTAGAGATTCTATTAAATTTGACTGACACAAGTTGTTCTTTTATTTATACTGAAAGCAAAAGAACTGGGAGGCACAGAACGTGCTTCGAAACCCTTTGTTCCACAATGAGTTTTCTTTTTTTTTTCCCCCAAAGAGGAAAAAACTCTCAGCCATAAAATCTTAATAAAATATGCATGGCAAGGTATAGAAGAGGATTTGTCTTTGTGGCATTTAATTCCTACAGAGCAAACCTGTAAAGCGGAACAAGAGCACAGGCAGCTACTGTGCTTTGCGAACAATTCACAGCAAATGCATGTCAACTTAATCAAAACTCTCTAAGGACGGAGCCCCTTCTCCCCACACTGGATTTATAAACAAAACAGAAGGCAAATTCCACTATTAAGTTTTCCCACATTTCTGAATTAACTTGATAGCATTTTAATTAGACAAGATTACAGGCATTTCACAACAGACTGGCTAATGGCTCGTTAATTAGGAACTGCATGGTGCGATTTCTGACCTACCAAACAAGGTCCTTGAGTTCGAATTAAAAAGCCTTGTTCGGTCCCTGAATAGACCACTGAGCCGCATGGGGAGGCTCTAATGAAACAACCATAATAGCAAACGAGAGCGGTCTCCACCAAAACCAGCATTCCTTTTACCTTCCTAAATCTCTAAAAAGGGAATTAACATACTCCAACATGCTCAGTTAGCAGACTTTCATTCTTCTTGCTACCATGAACCCTGATTTAAATTCAAAATATTCCTTTTCAAAATACTACTTCAAAGTACAAAAAACAAACAACAACAAACCACCTGTTTCTACACACAATTTTATTCTATCACCATTCTTTAGGGGTTTGAATGTTTTTTAACATCTACTGCAAAAAAGCTAGGCTGTCTGTGTATACAACTAAACCTCCACTGTGGTTTCTATGAGAAACCAATACAGAAATCTCTAGGATTTATAAGTATTTTTTCCTTTTCCTCTATTTTTTTTTTTTTTTGCCAAAAGAAAATAGGAGGATAAAATAGATTCCAGAAATGGAACTAAGAGTTCTGAATAAAAATTTTAAGATAGATTTGATTTCTACTTTTATATAATAAATGAGATAGCAATAAAGAGTAGTGTCCTGTTCAATTTTCAGAGAGTTCTATACGATTTCAGAAAACATTCAAAATATATAAAATCAAATTCTGGGGAATTTGATAATGTTTACTTTCCCTCTTAAAAATAACAGGCTATAGTGACTAGAGTTCACCATACTATTTTATTAAGCAATTACACCATTGCTGCTATCTAACTGCATGCTTAAGTTGGTATATTAAGTCTTAGTTAAGGAATTTATATCTTGGCCAGAATAAAATTCCTAAGTATACCACTCTTGTAATTTTTAGCAGGCACAGGTGATCAGTCTAGACAGAAAAATCTTAAAGTATACTTATACACACAACATGTACAAGAAAAATTTAGCAAAAATTGATAGACAGGTGATAGATTATTTTATTAAGAGACATAAATGCCATAGAACTTCAAAAACATTTTGTGGATTATGTGAGACATCATTCACACTGAAAACAAATCCTTGATAGCAAGTAGTACTTAAAAATAAACACTCCTCAGGGCCAGCCCCGTGGCCAAGTGATTAAGTTCGTGCGCTCCGCTTTAGTGGTCCAGGTTTCACCAGTTCGCATCCTGGGCGCGGACCTGGCACCGCTCACCAGGCCATGCTGAGGAGGTGTCCCACACAGCACAACCAGAAGGACCATAACTACAAGATACAACTACATACTGGGGGGCTGTAGGGAGGAGAAGAAGAAAAAATAAAAATAATAAAAAAATAAAAACACTCCTCAAACTGCTTACCTTCTGCTTTCATGTAGTGCACAGAATAAGCGATGACTTTGTCTGAATTATAAAGTGGCCTCTCCCAAGCTAAAAGGATGGCTGAACTTGACATGGTTTCAGCATGCACATTATAGGGAGCACTGGGTCTGTCTTCTGACATTACTACAGTCAGTCTGGCTCTAGATAAAATAGATCCTTGACTGTTCTCAGCCATGCACTGATAAATAGCATCATCTTCAGGAATAATCTGGTTAATTACCAATTTACTGAGGAAAGAAAAAAATTATTTATGTGAAAAATTCTAAGAATGATGTAAAATAAACTATTGCTAAGTGCACTCTCATTTTAAATGACAAAAGTTACTAAGAACAAAAACCGTGTAATCAGCCTTACTGAAAAATCTATATGACTTGCTTAAAATTACTCATTTTCTGAGTCTACATAAGTGAGTACTTGTGATATCCAAATCCTGTTTGCTTTAGGTGACAGCTTAATCTTTACTAAAAATTTGGTTTTTCTTGAGAAAGTATACTACTCTGTAATAGCATCTAATTTATATAATATTGTAAGGTTACATAAAATTCAGGTCAACAAAAATTTTTAAAGTTTTGCTCAATATATGAGAATGTTACAAGAAGATTCATAAAAATGAGTTCTTAAAATCATTAAGTTTGAATTGTGGAGGAATTCTTAGAGTTTCAATTACTTCCTTCTAATTTCTTCATTTTATGGAAGAAGAAACTGAGACCCCAACAGGTTAATATGCTTGCTAATAACTTAGCTAGTGGCTTACGAGCTCTAGAACCCAGGTCTGGGGAACTATCATTCATTTCATTAAAATCTACCACTTTCACAACCCACATATAAAATACAAAAGATCTAAGGTGTGCTAAGGATATAATTTTAATTTCTTATTTTAGTTTAAAACACCAAGATAATTTAGGTATCTGATGTTGCAATTATAAACATTTCATGTACACATTACTAAAGCCATTATATCTTATCTAAAATAGCAGCAAAGTAACATAGCCTACCTGTTGTACATTTTAATTCTACCATTTGAATGTATCTTCCTTCCGTTTTTCAACCATGACATTTTGGGTGAGGGGATTCCTTCCGCCTGACATACAAATCGAGCAGTGCCAGCTCGAGGCCTCGTTAAACTTTCTGGCCATTCGACAAATGAAGGAGGAGCTATTTTTAAAGAAAAAAGAAAAAAGTATTTCTATAGTCCCAATAGGAATGATACAAAGAGTCAAGGAAGAGTACAGCAAATGACACAAGTCCCATCCTTGAAAATATCTGACATTCCGAGCCTCCTGTCTACACTCTACATATATCTATCCAGATGCCTTCTCCCTGCCTGGTTCAGTTAGATGCCTACTTCCTCCAGACTTTCCCTACAGAGAACACCTATATAAACACACTATAAATATGTGTACCATAATCCTACTTAACTAAGCCCAATACAGAGCCACTTACGAATGCATATAGACAATCAACAGATTAGATTTTTAGATTGGTGAATGGGTATATGGATTTGTGGGCGGGTGAGAAGGAGACAAAAGGGAAGCTTAAATAAAGGAACATAATGATATGCAGGCAAGCAGGATGATAACTTCAGAATGACAGTTATATTTTAACATAGGGCTTTAATTTTCTCCTAAAATTCATCCTTGGGTTACGATGCTTCCTATCAATGCTACAAAATTCAAGAAAGGTGGAGGTAAGCTATGAATGAAATAAAACAGCAAAGGTTAAAATGTAAGAATGCAAGAAAACATACCTAATACAGTTAACGTTGCCATGGCAACAGTAAAGTTTCGTGTGCCTGGGGTAGTGGCCCGACAAACATATACTCCAGCATGTTGCAGCTTGACATCAGATATCATGAGATTACCATTTCCAAGTACCCGAGTATTAAAGACATCAATGGACTTGTGATCTATTTCAAAGAGATACTTCAGTTGTCAATGTAACATATGATCTAAAATTATGTCAAAAATTTTCTATCCAATTATATCATAAAAGCATAAAGTTCTCTATACCAGAACTTTTTCTCTACACACTGAAATGTCAAAAAGTTAAAAGAAAGGCCACTTAAATGCCAAACATGTGTTTTGTATATAAAATAAACATTTTATGAGTTTCATTTGAAGGAACAAAGTTTAAAGAAGACTTTTTTTTCCTGAGAAGACTTACCAAGACGGCTCCAAGAAATGATTGGTTTGGGATTTCCAATGGCCACACATTCCAAAACAACAGTCTGATGAAGAGATGTCGTTATATTCTGTGGACCTGCTATAATGGTTGGTGTGTGAAAGGATTTAGACTCCTTAGCTTTGGGGAGGAAAAGGCAGAATATAAAAATAAATTAAAAATAAGATAAGTAAAATGAGCTAAAATATTCTTAAGTTATTCACTTTTTTAAAAAACAACCTTATTGAGATATAACTCACATAATAAACAACTCACCCATTTTAAGTGTATAATTCAAGGATTTTTAGTATTTTCAGAGTTGTGCAACTATTCCCACAATCATTTAAGAACATTTTCATCATCCCAAAAAGAAACTCTATAACCATTAGACTCCCCAGTCTCCTCTCCCCATAGCCCGGCAACCACTAAACTACTTCCTGTCTCTCTGGATTTGCCTATTCTAGGTATTTCATAAAAAAGGAAGCATACATTTTTACAGCTTTTTGTGACCAGTTTCTTTCCACTCAGCATAACAGAATAATATTTAATTATATGGACAGAATACATTTTATTTATTCACTTAGTTGATGGACATTTAGGTTGTTTCCATATCATTGACCTTTTTCTTTGAGGAAGATTAGCCCTGAGCTAACATCTGCCAATCTTCCTCTTTTTACTGAGGAAGACTGGCCCTGAGCTAACATCCGTGCCCATCTTCCTCTACTTTTTATGTGGGACGTCTACCACAGCACGGCGTGCCACGCGGTGCCATGTAAAACCCCGGGCCGCCAAAGTGGAATGTGTGCACTTAACCACTGCGCCACCGGGCCGGCCCCTCATTCACTTTTAATTGGGATTCAAACATTAGTTTAATAATTTCAGTAATCTTGTTAGGAATTTATGTTACAGTGGGGAGAAGGGAAGGAGTGTGACAGTGCTTTTGTCTTTATCTGCTTACCAGGAAGCTAACAGATACTATCTGAAATTAAAACACAGCATTGAAAACGTAATTTCGGTCTCAATGTTTTTCAAGATTTTTTTTAACCTTAAAGGATCATTTAGCAAGTAATATCTCCTGTGAAGAGTAAACACGTGAAGTTCAACAATGTCTTTACTCCAGGTTTTCCTCCACTATATTCAAGTAAATTTAAATTAATTAGTTAAAAATAAAACCTAGCATCTATGTCTAATTCTATCTTAATAAAGTATGTATTTCTTTCTTCATGTTCATCTCTCTAGTTTGTTTCCCTTCTAACTATACTCATGTATGGCATGGCAAAATACATAAAGTTATGTTCACTTACTGTTAACAATGATAATTTCTGGATACCGGAATTGGGGACACTCCTATATCTTTGTACTTTTTTACATTGTTTAATGCAAAAAATTTTCTATTTTTCACTTTTACACACATTATTCTTTATAATAAGCATGCATCATTTTAAAAAATGCAAATTATGATTTTTTTTAAAACAACAAACAAAAAGACACCAAACTGGAAACAAATATATCTTTACTGACAAGGGACAATTCTGGTGGAAATGGATGATTATTATTCTCTTTTTTATACTTTATATTTTAAAAACAAAAGTGAAATATTTACAGAACAAATATTCCATCTTTCTTAAAGACACTGATATAACATAAAACAAGTTAGCCCATAAAAGAAGAGTTAATAGATTAAAAAATGACCATTTTCCAAATAGAGCACACTAATTTAAATGAAAATAAAGGACTACTTTATGGCATACTGCTATAGACAGAGGAGAACAGTTAATAGCTGGGCCAATAAAAACTGAAAAAACAACTTCTGTGTGGTACCTGGAATCACTGTTAGAGAGGCCTCCACACTCTTACGCCTGTGGGCTACAGTAGCAGCAACACAACGGTAATTTCCAGCATCCCCGTGGCCAACGTCATAGATCTGCAATACTCCTGTTGGCAGGGTAGTTATCCTGTTACGAGAAGAAAGATGATTAAACTCTTTGTAGTAGCCTTTATATTTTATTTTAACATACATTCTGTAAGATTTAATATACTCAACCTTTTTAAAGTGCCAGATGCAATACTTTAAAGACCTTTTAAAACACTAGCTTGATTCAGCTGTTCCCATTTGAGTCAATACAGCTCTCTAGCACATAAATAATCAGGCAGTACGTGGTTTGCAAAATCTATCAGTCTAATTTTACAGAGTCTCATTTGACGTAATACCTTAGATTTAGCTAACTGGTGGTCTCGACCTTAGTATAATTTTTTCAAATTCCTGATTTCTCACCTATTAATATTGATGTATTCTCCAAGACACATCTGAACATAAGTTTTTTTTAAAAAGCACTTCCTTGAATAAATTCTTCCATCTCAGTGCCCTACCATTTTAGCAAATGATTTTTGCTACTCATGAGGACAGGAATCAAACTTTTTGAAGTTGCTATCAAGTTCTTGATCCTTAAACCTCAACACCTTCAGAGCACTAGGGATGTGTGCAAGTGTGCGTATATAGTCGAGAGGAGATTAGGAAATGGAAGGTAGAGAAAGAAGTGGGCAGCTACCCGGGTGTACATTGGATACCCTCACACCAGTACTGCTATTGCCAGCAGTGAAAATGTAATTTGGTTTCCTAAATCCTTGGGCTGCAATCCAGGTACTCAGGTGGCCCCATGGTTGGAAAAGACGTTTGAGGAAAAGAACAAAGCAGTAAGATAGGCTATCTGAATTCTGATCTGAACCCAAAAGCCAGGAATTATGCCCCATGTGCCAGAGACTGATGATCTTTGCCTAAGTTTGTAAAGTCTTCAAGAAGTTGATTATTGCTACCATAAATGAAAATGAGCTCCATAATGGTCTTTCCCCCTGTATAGTCTCATGAGGAAGTCTTCATTACTCCTGCATCATCTCCAAAGACAAAAGCTGCATTTACCTGTCCGTAGTTACAGGTAGGGTTGTCCGGTTTAATTCCCATGTTATGACTGCAGGAGGGTTTGATGAAATCTTGCATGCAAATCTAGCAACTCCACCTTCTTGGACCTCAGTAGAAACTGGTTGAACTTCAAATGCAGAAATAGCTATAAGATAAAAGTTTGACAAATTCAGAATAAGCACGTGTACTATTATATTGCACTATACTTGGAAATAACATTATGCTAGATATTATTTATCAGACTTGAACTCCTGCCCAGAGGTAAGACCAACTCAGGCAACACAAAGATAATTTAGGGAATAATTTTGGAAAAACCACCAGACAGTTGCCCAGCTCAAGGAGTCTAGTCTTTCCCAGGATGAAATTCTAAATGAGTTCTCAAGAAACTTATGACCTACTTGGAGAAGAAAAATTAACATAACTGAAACAAATAAACAATGATGGTATGTAATTACATACCAAATTACGTAGTACAAGCTTCAAATACTACTGTATTTCAGAGGAGAGGGAAATCGGTAAAGACAGATTAGACAGATAAGAACCATTTACAGGGATTGTTTTGAATTGAGTTTTGAAGAATCCATTGGGTTAGGTGGAAGGGGAAAAAACAAGACATTCCCAAGTGAATAACACGAAGGCAAGCACAGAAGAGAGAGATGTGTTCACAGGACTGTAAGGAAACAACCAGGACTAACTACTGTAGACTATTTCAGATTAAGGGTTCATGGAAGAGTGGAATGAGAGCAGAGATAAAGCAGATTAATACCATGGTACAAATTAAGACATCACTGAAAATTTTTGAGCAAAAGAGTGTCAGGATAATAGTCATATCTGGGAAAAATTAATCAGGCACTGTTACACAGGATGGATTGAAAAAAGAAGAGCCTCAAGTCTAAAGACCCACAGATTGTTTAAATAGGAATGATGGACCCGGGTGGTGGCAGTGAGAATGGTCAGATTCTACAGACATATTAACGAAAACAGAAGACTTGGTGCTTACTGGACACAGATATGTCACTCTGTGTTTGGAATCTAACGAAGGTGGTAATGATGGAGCAGAATGAGAAAGGAGAGAGAGAAGACAAATGGTGTGTCTGACGAATACAAGGTAGAGAGACTCAAGAGACTATTTTTAGACTCGTGTATTTCCAAAGTGGAGATAGATAAATCGTGAAGTGTTGATATTTTCTAGAGATAATATTTCTTTGCCATTCTAGGCATGCCTCCAGGAACTGGTCGTCAGTGTCCACGGTTTTACTTTTTGATGGAGTCCAGACTCCAAGTTATAGTGTGGTTTTCCTTCCCTCTGCTAAGTCTTTCAGGATATAAAGAAAGGGCCCCAATGATGGTCTTACTCCCCTTCCTCAGACTCCAGTTCAAAAAAAAAAAAAAAATATATATATATATATGCCTTTACAGTTTATCAATAAAGTGAGAAGTTATGGAAAAACTGGAGGGAATAAGGACTAGAAGACTTATGATTCATTAGAGTGGAAAGGGTAATAGGCCACAGAGGAACAAATTTTGCCTTGGAATTGGCTTCACTAATCCGTAAATGGGTCACAGGCCTTTAGAGGTACAGGACAAAGCCAGTGAATAACGGTGAAAATATTCTTAGGATCATCTACTTCCAAAAAGGGTGAAGTGGGGGTAAAGCACAACTTTATACATGTATGTAACAAAAAATTTCTACTTCCTCAAGAAAAGTGGCTCTCAAACTGCTTTTATCAGTGGATCCACAAGGTGAAACCATTTTCATAATCATCATCATTTGCCCTTCTCACTCTCATTTCTCTTGAGCGCACAGTGGTTTCCGTAGCTACATGAAGGGCGATACTGCAACAGACGCGGTGCAGACGCAGACGTGCGTGGGCACTCAGCTGTCTTCTTCTATTAAGTTAAAGACATTTGTACAAATGTAAAACAATGCCACCCCTCTCAATAAAATCTTTTTGCTTTGAAAATTGGTTATGTTTCATTAAATGTGCTATTGTAATATGTAATGGATCATTTTCATTTTAAAATTAGTTAATCAATATTTTTTAAATGTCTCAGTTTTACTTTCTAACAATAAGAGGGTATAAAGAGTGAGACTAAAATGTTTGAGAACCACTATTCAAGAAAAACGCTAAAAATCAATACAGTTTTTCTTTTTAGTCACTTCCGTAACCACTTTCTGGGATGTTAATCTATTTATAAACATTTTCATTCTGGGTCAAATCTATGACCCAACTACTAGAATCAGGAAATAGATGGTTATATTCACCTTCAAAATATCAGATTCACATTCAGAAAAGCCTGATTTCTCAATAACAAGGTAAGTCTATCTTTCTATAATTAACTAAAATTATGTCAAATACATTCATATTTGGGGAGGATTAGGACCTAAGTTTCCATAAGCCTAATGTCTGCTTTATGAAGTACTGATTTCTTTTACTGATCCCATATTTACCTTCTCCGTGTGTGAGGGGGTGACTCTGAGTTCTGGCTGTCATTGATAATCCAGTTTCTATTCAATTTACAGACTTCAAAGTGGGAATTTTACCTTATTCTTCCCCAGCCTTTACTTCTCTATAGACTGAAATATCTAATATAGTTTAACTTCTCCTTAAAGCAGTAGTTCCTCCAGCCCCACCTATTTGAACAATTTCTTCTTCCATTATCCCACAATGAATCAAGCACCCCATTCAGTATGTTTTATCTCATGTAGCCCTCTCATACCTGACTTCTCTCCATCTCTAATAGTCCTCTCTTTGATTCAGGAACCTCTTAGGTGATCTCTCTCCTGCCGGCAGAGTTCCCTCCACAGTGACAGTCAAAAAATACCAATTTGCTTTGTGTTGCTGATGAATTAACTAATCCCTGCAAAACACTATCAGCTCATTTCCAACCACTTACAATGATGTTCCGTGAACACTGAACTATTAATAATTCAGTGAATTATAAGTAATATATTATTATTAAATAGTACATATTATCATGAATACACCATGATATTTCATACTTCTGAGCATTATATGAGCATTTCCTTCTCTCTCAAACATCCTAGGTCCCTTTGGCCACCTGATGACATCCTGTCCTAGTTTAGAGCTTAGTTCTCTTGTCCTATCCTTTGGGAAGTTTTTCCTGACCCTTTTCTCTGCCATTTCTGTACATTCCAGGTCTTTACTGTTACTTTTATCCCACAGTCTTATAATCACTTATTCACAGTTTTTCTCCCCTTCTACACCATGAGCTCCTTGAGGGCCAGCAGTGGGTCACATTCTTTGCAGGATCTCTTAAGATAGTGAATGGCACAGTGGCATTAAAACAATACTTGTTGAATTGAACTGAAATTTTTTGGATTTTCTCCAATTCTATTAGTCTTTAAACACAGCAACCAGAAATGTAGGGAGTTTCCCAGGTACAAATACCAAGGCTTGAGATGAAAAGAAAATAATGCTTTTTATTATTTTTTTGTTTGCTGTAATTCCAAATGATATCCAAAATCTTAGTGATCTTATCTAGAGACAAAAATCTGTCCCTCCTCTACCAAAGAATTTTTATAAAGATTACATAAGCCAATATAGTGAGGGCTCTTTATATAAGATTTTTTATAAATATGATACTGAGAATAAAAATAATCATTCTGTTGCCTTGAGTAATTTCCCTCCTATCACTAAGGCACTTCAGTGTTATTTTACTCTGAATCTCATCTAACCAAACAATATAATCCCTCTGAACCTTTTCTTTAAGCAGCTCCCTCTTTTTTTTCCCTAGATGCATAAGTCTATGAAACCCCTAAGATTTTTTTATTATAAACATTGAACTAACTGCACTTTAGGTCAAATGCACTAGAACTTCGGAGTACAAAATTCTGAGAACTAAAAGCTAAATGGATGCATCCTCTAACTCAATAAGGGTATTTCTGTTGGGGAGGGATTAATTGAGATAGTTATATCTCTTTATGGAGATATAAATCACACAGCATGTAATTTACGCACCATACAATTCACTCATTTAAAGTGTACAATTCAATGGCTTTTAGTATATTCAGAGTTTTCAACCATCCCCATAATCTATTTTAGAATATTTTCATCACTCCAAAAAGAAATCCCCTATCCTTTAGTTACCACTCTCTAATCTTCCCACCCTTCCCCGACCCCAGCCCCAGGCAATCACTAACCTAGTTCCTTTCCTCCCTCCAGCTCTATTGAGATATGACTGACATATAACATTGCACACACCTGATGATTTGATATACATATATATTGGGAAATGATTGCCACAAGAAGGCTAGTTAACACATCCTTCAAGTAAGGGTACTTCTTGATCTCACTCTGGTTTTCAGCAAGGTCTATAGAGGTATAAAAGAATTTTTTTTAATCCCCCAAAACACCTTTATACTTAACATGTCTAACTTTTTGGTTCCTTTTGAAAATTCAATCTGTTGGCAAAATGATCTTTCCCAAAGAAGACTAGGCCAGATAATCCTTGGGACTCTCACCATCACCTCTGAGACAGAAGAAAATGAGGCATTCATGATTCAACAATGAAAAGAAGTTGCTATCTTTTTGTTTCTAACTCCTCCATCTGAGCACCAATCCCATCCTCTTCCCTCACCTCTGGGAATCCGATATATCTGCCTTTTCTCTCTCTCTTCTGTATATTCACACTCTTCTCCTGGGTCCTTTTCTCAGCCTATAAAAGTGGTTAAGTCTCTCCCAAACTCAAAACACAAAAAGAACAAAATTCCAGATGTCTCTTTATGGCTTGTATCCCTCTAGCAGCTATCCACTCTCTCTTCCCCATGGCATCAAAATGTTTCTAAAGAGTAGATTACCCTGGTTGCTTCCTCTTCTTCTTCTCTGACTTTATGCCTCAAATATCTAGTCTGCCTTCTCCCTCTATTATTTTATTGAAACAGTGTCTATGACACCATGCACTCCTCATTCTCTTATTTCTCTGACTCCTCTTCCCTGTCTCCCTTTTCAGGGGCTCTCCCTCCTCTGCCCTTCCTTCCAGAGATTCTTTGTTCTTTTCACTCTCCACATTCTCCTTGGGTGCTCATCCACTTTCAGTTTTCATGTACACCCACCTCTTGCTGCTGAGTCTCCAAAACACACCTCCAGCTTAGATCATCATCTCCAGAGCTTCATACTCATG